TCTCGAAATGTTTCGAACACGATGGTCGCGACATTTGTGTCAAAAGCGGGTCATTTTGCAACAATTCCTCTTAATGAGCAAAGAACGGTTACTGCGGATTGGTATACTACCATTTTTTTGCCAAAAGTCATCACCGAGCTTCGAAAAATCAACCCCGAAAGAAGAATCATCCTCCACCAAGGCAATGCAAGCTCGCACACAGCCCAAAAAACAAGGCAGTATTTGACGAAAGAAAACGTGGAATTATTGGACCATCCTCCATATAGTCCCGATCTAAGTTCTAACGATTTCTTTATTTTCCCGAAAATTAAAAACAGACTGCGTGGTCAGAGGTTCCAGTCACCAGAAGAAGCAGTTGACGGATTCCAAAATGCCGTTTTGGATCTGCCAGCAAACGAGTAGAATGAGTGCTTCGAAAATTGGTTCAAGCGCATGCAGATGTGTATTAATCTTCGTGGAGAAAACTTCGAAAAACAATAAAGTCATTTAAAACTACCTACCGTGTTGTTTTATTTCCATATGCAAAACTTAAAAGACATCCCTCGTATGTACACACTATACGGAAACTGGTGCAATTTCAAGGTTTTTTCGTTTTTCTGCACAAAAACTGTATTTAACGTTCGTTACCTGGATATATTAATACATTCACAAAAACTAAAAGAAAGCCTGCAATTACATACGGTATGCGCCCAAAAAACCTATACAGAAGCATGTGTATGCATATGTGATTAAAACAAACTGTACCGCGATAACATTCATTTCCATATCTTATAATTATATGCACCACTTAAACAGTAGTAAAATACATATCCATTTCTAACAAATAGATAAAACAATTTTCAATTATCGACGGTTAACATGGTCGCAAGATTTCTCTCGCGACTCTTCTGCTAGCTATCTAACTGTAATCGCATATTTGCAAGAATCGTAAGACTCGAATAAGACCAAAAGAAACGCGATAGTTGAAAGAAGAATCAGGAAGTTTTCACCTTAAGCGGATCGAGTGTTTGCCTTTTATCATTTACAGTATGGCATTGATCAAAGTTTACTTGCAGAAACTACTTTCATATCTTTTATCTCTCCGTTTACTATTTGATATTTACGTTTCTGCTTGAAGTCTTTTACGGAAGATAAAGATCGATGACTTTTGATTGACTTTTGACCTCGCTAGGTGCAGTGGAACGACCAAGCGCCTTTTTACTTCCCACGCATACTGGCGGGGAAGTATAAAATTATATGGAAACGGGGGTCTTGTGGCACATCATTTTGAAGCTCCTAACGACTACCTTATAACCCTAGAATATAAAGTCAATACCTTTATCTACTACAAAATGGTGGACGTTTAATATTTACTTGAACACAAACAAACTAACATGCATATCTCTACAAATAATTGTAATTCCCTGCCGTGTCCACAACAACAGCGATAAAAACTTGTTTTGTTATTTTTTGTTGACAGTAACAAGAATATCAGTACGAAAACAAACATCATTGTGCAGTTAAAATATTATTATTTAGTTTTCGGTTTTAGTGCTAGATAGTGTTTGAACTATTTTTAAACTGGTCAATTCTAGTCCATTTGAAGAAAAAATCGCTATTATTTTTTTATGAAAAAGTAGCTAAATGATGTCTAAACAAGGTCGCGAAAACCGCATCGCGATTGCTTCTTCCTAACCTAAAATTTAGGCCAAAGAAGGCTTTATAAGAAAATCCGTTATATTTTCATTTTTTTAAACTAATTTTTCTGGAATTCATCAGAATAAAATCAGCTTTTTGAAAATATTACAAAATATCTCTAAAAGGTAAGTAAGTAATGATGATGATAAAAGGCATATACGAAAAAGACAATTAATAGAAACAGGCCATGGAATACAACAAAACAAATACCTAATCAAAACGTAAATAATCCTCAAATTGTCAATAGTTGTCAATAGTGTCGCAATAATTTGAGCAATTTTTGTGCTTTATTTTGAATGTCTTCAGAATGCTTAAAACGCAAAAAGTGAACACTTCATGTTCATTTTTGAACAAAATTCTATAGGTAAAAAAATCGGTAGGAAGGGTTTATCTCATTTTTAGATATTCGTATACTTTATCTGAAGTCACTTGAAACACTGTGAAATACCGGGTCCGTTTTATATATCTATATTTAACACGCTCTGTTGCTGCAAAAATCGCCAAATTTCGCAGCAAATATCCCCCGTATAAGATCAAAGGCAGTTTCACCGGTCCACGTGGAGTAAAACACGCCTATGCGTGGACATAGCCAATGAGAAAGCGTGTATTTCAGAACTCTGAACAAGTGCAGGTGGCTACTGAAAATTGAAACAGTTTAGCCAGTGCCATGTAGCGGTGAATAAACGTGTTTTCTTTAGTCTGTCCGTGTTTTTTCATAGATTTTATTAGTTTGTGTGTTTTTGACTTTTGAATACTCAGTTTACTTGTTGATTTAATTGTTGTGTTGATTGTTCTTGTGTGTCCTAAATATGGCTCTTTGGAGACCTTGGGAAAATACTCCAAGCCACGAGGAGATGGTTGATGAACCTGTGCAGGCAGAATTCTTTCATAAAGATTTAGAGGAACAGACCCAAAGAGTAATCCTAAATATGTATGATTGTCTGAAAAACGAAAATCCAGATTCCTCGCAAAATCAAATTTTAAACAGAATTTGTATCCTGACAAAAATCAGTCGGTCTACCATTTATCGGGTTATGAAAAGGGGAGATGTAGTCAACCATTCCTTCCACAGAAAGCGCATAGGGCAAAAATTAAAAAGAATAGACTTGGGTTTTCAGGAAGATATTCGTCGTATAATATACGGATTTTATAAAGAAAATTTGGTGCCCACGTTGGAAATGATACGGGATAAATTAAAAGATTATCCTGAAGATTTTTATAATTACAAATGCTTACACTCACTGCACTGTATTGTAAAACTGTGTGGTTTTCAATACAAAAAATTAGATAAAAGAATGGTGATTATGGAGTCGTCTCGAATCGTTGAATTGCGCCAAGAATTTTTGCACAAAGTTAAAATCTATAGCGAGCAGAAAAGAAATCTGATTTATCTGGATGAAACGTGGTATGATACCCATGATGTTGTGCAGTACGGCTGGGTTGACGACAGCAACAAGTGCATTTTAAATGCACCATGCAACCGTGGAAAGCGAATCATTATTCTCCATGCTGGCAGTGAAAATGGATTTATACCTAATGCCTTGCTGTTATCTGCCAAAAATATCAAAGAATCATGTGCCGACTATCATGAGGACACGACCTCCGACTTATTTGAAAAGTGGATAGAGCAGCAGTTAATACCAAACATTTCCCCAAATTCAGTGATTATTATGGACAATGCGCCATACCATTTCCGGCAGAAAAACAAAATTCCGAATACAGGCACAAAAAAACAAGACATTATTGATTTATGAAGGATAAGGGAATGGAAATACCACAAAAATCAACCAAAGCCATATTATTGGATCTTATTAAAAGACAAAAATTTGAAAAAGAGTATGTTGTTGACAATCTGCTTCAGCAAAATGGCCATGAAGTATTACGTCTACCTCCCTATTACTGCATTTTTAACCCGATTGAGTTGGTCTGGGCTGCTTTAAAAAAAAAAAGTAAGAAAACATAATCAGACCCCTCAATTAAGTGAATCGCTATTGGCCACAATAAGAGATGCAGTATCTCATATTGCTGCCACAGACCTATGGAAGCAGTGTTCTAGGCATATTATTGAAAAAGAAAATGAATATTGTGTTTTGCCTCCTGTAAGTCTCGTTGTAATTCCTCTACAAGATGACTCTAGCGACAGCTCCGAAGGCGAGGATGATATATAAATACCTATAATGTAAGTCTTTATATACCTTTTTATATACCTACCTGCTATGTAAATATTTGCCTATGTCAAACGTTGGAATTCTGTAATTTTTCCATTTCTTAACTTTCAGTCAACATAAATTAAACTCCCAATATAAGTATTTTTTATCCCAAATCAGAAAAATAAGAAGATAGTAAAATCCATTTATTGTGATATAAAAACATTATTATTATCGTTCTAAATAAATCACCGCACGCCTATGATACGTCATGAAATTACAAAGGACGCGCCGATCAAAGGTTTTTATGTTATTTCAAGTGACTTCAGATAAAGTATACATTTATACGCTCTCCCAACCTTGGTAATTTTACGTACCTACGAGTATTAGACATTGTCTCACACAGAGATTTCTCTGTGCATTAACCCTTCAAATTCGTCGTACCGCCGACCTTAGTGAGTGTTCTGGTTTGGTATCGCACGTATTTCTGCCACGCCGCAGCATAGTGTTTCCTATGCTCTGAAGTGTGACCGAGATCTAGTTTGTGCTGAACATACCAAATCCTCGTTGAGTTCTTCCTTGGAAGGTTTGCATCCGGTAATAATTTTGTTTTTGTTTTTACATAGAAAACGAACGTCGTAGCGCTCATGCGGATTTGATGTATGACCGAGTTCTGCCATAGAGCTGCATTTCGGCTGGTCAAAGACTTGATCTGGCACGAGCACATCTCGTCAATAGCGGCAGCTGCTGGGAAAAAGGTAGCCTACTTGTTTAAGGCTAACAATTACTTTTCTCCACAAGACCTCGCCTCAAGCAACGCTCACATATTTGGGGTGCTACCGCCTGGACTACATTATCCATGCTCAATCCTGTTCAGGGAAGGGCTGTCCGACTGATCGATGACTCTTTTCTAACAGACAGTCTCGGTGCCCTTGCGCATCGGCGGGCCGTCGGCGATCTAGCTCTTTTCTACCGTAACACCAACGGGCTTTGCTCATCAGAGCTCTCTTCCATGATGCCGCCGCGCGATGGGTCTGCCAAGCAGACCCGCCTGACTTCCGTCTCCCATCCTAACCGTGTCGAACTTCGTAATACATCCAGAACTGGTCGTTACGACCGCTCCTTTGCCCCTAGAGTGCTGAGATTGTGGAACAATCTACAAGAGGAGGCTTTTCCCAGTTCTACTAACCTTAGGCTATTCAAAAATCGCATTAACAAAGTTTCTTTGGAATCCTCATAGCAGTCGCGGTGTCTAAAAAAAATAACCGAAGCTAAATTTGAAAACCTAAGTAGCACTTGCGTGGAATACAAGAAAAAACGTTACTGTCTCTGACTTCTGACCTTTGACCATCCCACTTAACGACCATACCCGTGCATTTGCTGACAGATCAAGCACACGATCATAAAACAAGCTCCTCGTAACTGTACTCACATATCTCCACCTCACGCTGGGTCTTCCGAAACGTAATCCAACAAAAAGAACTCCACCGGTCACAACGGGCAGTTGCTAATTTCGGCACGTACGGCGTGAGCGACCAATAAAACGAAGACAAACGAAGATCGGTCGAAAGATCAAGGGCGGCCGAATGAAGAGATAACAAAAGAACAGCGTTCGCGACGGCCACGCGCGTCATCAACGGTTACCTGGTCGGCACTGAAACCGCTGAAGAACAGACGCCACCGCTGAAATGAAGAATGGGGGAACTGAAGAGAAACGGTCGAGGAACAGCAACTGATAGTATAGTCGATTAGCGTCGTATTAAATTTCTCGGATTCACGAAAAAGTATTCTAAAAGAATGACGCAACGCCGTTATAGTTTATAAAGGATTATGTCCAGGACAAACTATACTCTCTCAGCGAACAATTCATTCTTTCCCTGCCCTACCGGTAGCGCATCTGGAAACGTCGCCTCTCCCCGATACTTAGCCCGATCAGAAGTGGGAGCGCGGTCAGAGCATGATAAGCACTATGCTGTGACGCGGCAGAAATACGTGTGTTGCACTCACTAAGACCAGCGAATTTGACAGGGGTAGAATTATTGCCTGTCGTAAATTAATTGTACTGCAATGACGGTAATGCGTGTGTGTCGTGTGTGGATAGAAGAAGATAGAGGACCACGAAGAAGGCCACGGCTACCGCGAATTCTGCGTCGCCGAAGAATCCGAGTGCGAAGACGTCTCATCCTCCTACTAGCGAAATGGCGATCAACGCAATTAAAGGAGTGAAAGAGCGTGGCGGGTCGTCTCTTCAAGCTATCAAGAAATACATAGCCGCGAATTACAAAGTAGACGCTGAGAAAGTTGCGCCTTTCATCAAGAATTACTTAAAATCGTCCATCGCGTCTGGAGCTTTAGTACAGACGAAAAGCAAAGGAGCTTCCGGATCGTTCAAGCTAGCTTCGTCATCGGCTGGCGGAGCGTCGAAAACTTCATCGTCATCAGCCGCAAAGGTTGGCGAAAAGAAGAAGAAATCCGCGACCGGCTCAAAGAAGAGCGGAACCGTAGCTAAGGGGGCTAGCGGTGCGAAATCGGCGAAGAAGACATCTCCGAAGGCTAAGAAACCGGCGATGGCCGCTGGTGCGGCCGAGAAGAAAGCTTCTCCCAGCTAAGACAAAGAAAAGTGGGAAATCGGCGACGTTGGCTAAAGCTTCTTCTGCGGCACCTTCTGCAGAGCCTGCAAAAAAATCTCCTTCGAAGGCGAAGAAACCCAGCAAGGGAGCTCCGACCAAGAAGCCAAAAGCACCAAAACCGAAAACGGCGAAGGCTGCAACATCGCCGAAAAGGAAGGCCGCTTCTCCCAAAAAGAAGAAATAGAAGAAATGTAGACGTGTTGCAACGTCGTTGATTACGAATACGTCTGTTCGCGACGTTATATTTATGCGAGAGGATGCTATACGTCCCCCCAGAAATTCAAAATTGAGACATTTTTTTGTTCTTCTTTGTAACCCTTTGTGAGTTTATAAATAAAAAACTACACGCTGCTGGCAAGTAATGTTGATTTTGTAACATTGGTACAACATCACCCATTGAGATAAATTAATCATTAGGTGGACATACTCTTTATTTTTCCCTTTGTGTATTACATATTGGAGTTTTTACTAAAAAAAAAAATTAAAAATCTACATAATTAATTCCGCTGTGCTAAAAACTGTTTGAGGGACTTGGGGTGATAGAAAAAGACCTCCTTTGTCCGCCATTTCAATTTGGCAAACGATGCACCAAACACCCTGTATATCTTCTAAGTTCCATAAAAACGATATTTTCCTTGTTAGCTGTTAATATAAATACCTAATATACTTTGCGTCATAGTATACATATATCATATATCACGAAAAATTGTACATCATGTTTAATAATTATACTAAGTGACATATAAATCCGAACACCCAGTTTAAATGATTTTATTTTAATAAAAGTTGGTGAATGTATTTATCTTACTGTAAATAACAAGTGAAAAAATGTTCAGCCTTATCAGTTGGACATTCCGGTTTTTATATTGCTTTTTTTTAATTCACTAACGCTCTAAAAATGAATATTTCAGCCGCAGTAAAGAATCAACGTTGGCGGATTTTTGTTCTTGACATCCTTTACGATCGGTTACGATGCCTAGAGTGCGGAGACCTGTACGATTTCGTCAACTTAGTGAGTTTGATAGGGGCCGTATAGTGGGACTTCGGGAAGCTGGACTTTCTTTTCGGGCAATTGCAGTTAGAGTGCAAAGAAGTGTAGACACTGTGGTTAGGTGTTGTCAGGCATGGCTTCGAGAAGGCCGTACGCAAAGAGCAAGGGGCACTGGACGCCGCCGTAGAACAACAGACCGTGAAGATCGCCGCCTGAGATTATTTTGCCTTAAGGGACCGTTTCTCCACTACCAGGTGCATTGCAAATGAATGGTTTGCAGAACACGGAAGACCTATTGGCATGCGAAGTGTTTACCGACGAATGAGAAGTTTTGGCTTGTTTTCATACCGGCCACACTGGGTCCTCCCTTTAACTCGAGAACACCGACGTAATCGCCTTGAGTGGTGCAGACAACGGTCACTCTGGGATCAGGAATGGAACAGTATTGTCTTTAGTGACGAGTCTCGATTTTGTTTAGGCATGCACGATGGTCGTGCCAGGGTTAGAAGGCGACGTGGTGAAAGGAGGAATCCACAGTTTTTTGTTGAAAGACATGTTCATCACACTGTTGGAGTTATGGTTTGGGGTGCTATAGCTTATGGTTCCAGGTCACCATTAATCTTCATCAGAGGTAACATGAACGCGCAGCGTTATATCCACGAAGTTCTAGAACCCCATCTTTTACCCTATCTTGACACCCTGGCAGATCCAACTTTCCAACAAGATAATGCCCGACCACATGTTGCAAGAGTCACAATAGACTTCTTTCAACATAATGATGCCACATTGTTACCATGGCCACCAAGATCTCCCGACTTATCCCCAATTGAGCTCGTGTTGGATATGATGGGTAGGAGATTGCTCAATTTGCCATAGGATGGAAGTTTGCCTAAGAGGGCAGCGTGCCACAGCTGATCGAACGCTTTCGTGATGTCAAGAGCAACGACATGAGCCTCACCATGAGACTGGATGACTTTACTCCACAGTTGCGTGACGTAAGCTAGGAGGTCCCCTGTGGATCGTTGGTGCCGGAAACCGTACTGCCTGTCGCTAATCAAGCTGTGACGTTCGAGGTAGTTCAGAAGCTCGCGATTTATGCACTTCTCCATCACTTTACTTATAACAGAAAGCAGAGCTATAGGCCTGTAATTGTAAGGGTCGGTTTTAGATCCTTTTTTTGGGATGGGCTGTACATGAGCAAATTTCCAGTTTTCTGGGAAGGTGCCGGATTCATAAGATATCTGGAAGAGACGCGAAAGAACTGGAGCAAGCTCCGCTGCACATCTCTTCAGTACAATGGCAGGAATCAAGTCCGGACCAGAAGCTTTGTTGATGTCGAGCGACAAGAGCACTCGTCTTACGGTCTTATGCCTGAATGTTACCTCCCGCATAGTGTGGGGAACCCTTTGAATTGACGACACTTGGGCGTTGGTGGGGACGTCCATAGTGGAGTTGGCAGCAAAGATCTTGGCTAGCACTTCCGCCTTGGCCTTTGAGTCGAATACAATAGTTCCATCCTGACACGTAAGTGGTGGAAGGCTACTGTGTGAGAAGTTCTTTTCAATCTGCTTGGCCAGCGTCCAGAAAGACCGACTGCCATTGCGCTGCGACATTACCCTGTGCCTAACTTTTATATCATGCTGGTTTTTGGCATTGCGAACCGCTTCGTTATATTTGTTTCTGGACTCGACGTCGGCTTGTCTGTTCTCTACAGTGGGGTTTTGTAAGTAGGTTCTGTGGGCCTTGATCTTCTGCTGGCGAGCAGTGTCACACGATTTGTTGAACCAGCCGTTGGACCCTGGTTTAGGAACTTTCACTGTGTGAGGGATGTATTCCTCCATTCCGACGTGGATAATTTCAGTTATTGAAGAACAGACAGTCGACGCATCCGCGTCAGTGAAACAGACATCTCTCCAAGGAAAGCTAGAGAAGAAGTCTCTGAGCCCCTCCCAGTCGGCATGTCCGTAAGGCTACTGGCGTGTGACGAGACGCGGGGGAAAAAAGTAGGGCTCGTCACCAGCTGGGTCAGCCCTTGAGTAAGAGCGAACGCTTCGACTGCACGACCTGCTGCATCGGTCTTATTTGAGCCCTAGCCAAAGCTCATTATGGGCATTGAAATCACCGAGAAGAACTACCTCTGAAGCGGGGTGATTGATGTTCAGGAAGTCGATCTGGACGGCGAGGTATTCGAGTAGGTCATCCCAGTTATGGTTCGAGGGAGAGCGATAAAGGCAGCAAATAAATTTGGGTGATGTTTTGGAGTTGAGGCGAAGCCACAGAATGTCCTTCCGGTCTGATTCCAAAGAAAGATCCCTGGAGCAGGAAAGACTGCTGCGGACAAAAGCCACAACTCCCCCGTTCTTTCTCAGATTGGAGTGCACCTCGTAGTTTGGGAAGTTGAGATGGTTAATCGGTGCAGTCTCTGAGATTTTTGTCTCCGCCAAGAAAAGCCACTGATTTTAAAAGCATATAAATGAAGCATATTAAATCATCACTACTTCAAAAATGTGGTAAACATGAACAAAATCTATATATCTAATCGTCTGTAAAGCGTTTTCAATAAGTTATGTATTAAGAGGTATCTGGAGAGACTCTGCAACTGACAAAATACATCTGTCAACTTCCCACATGTAGATATGGATCAGCAACAGAGCAAGCAAACGTTTTTTCAAAAATGCAGGGTGGCGAGCATAGATGTAAAATTGCTAATGCTGAAGATAAATTATAAAGTTGAGAGTGGCAATGAACATTTTTTTCAAAATTTACATACATCGCTTTATCTCCCAGTACACGCAATCAAGTGTTTTGGAGAAATCTCGACTAGACTATTAGTAGGGTCGCGACAGAGGCGATTCACCTGCCCGCAGATGCTGCTGTTTGTGGAAGGTAGCTGGTTGTAGTGGTGGACAGGTGCCAAACGCGGACCGGACGTGATGAATTCGGACACGTATGTGTTACAAAGAATTTGAAATGTCCATCGAAGCCACATGGGCCCATGGAAAAAATGGCGCCAAATGTGCTACCCATTCGTTGCTCTTCACATACACAGGATTGAGTACGCTTTGTACACAAGTGTTTATTTAAATATTATTTATGTAAATTAATCTTTTGGTCACACACAATTAGTGTCGAAGGTTGCGACTCGGTACTCATCGAGAATTCTATCCGAATTTAGTACCGCAGACAATTTCATTGAAAATAAGTTACTTCTTACACTACACTATACTAGTTTGACACAAAATCTAGTTTTATACCTTCCAAAGTTGTGCGGTTGTCAAAGGCCTTTAAAAACCTCTTACACTTTACATCATTATTTTTATATCCTATCCAAACCAGCATTTGAAAAATGGCATCAAGTAGATTCACTCTAGACTTTCCGCGTCTCATTTCTTTGGAGGTCTATGCTACCGTGATATGGTGCAAAATTTTCTGGCGCCTCAGTTCCAAAAATTTAACCTGCAAAACATGTTCTAGCAGGACGGAGCAACATGTTATACAGCAGGGAAACAATTAATCTTTTGCGAACAATATTTCTGGCACGTTTAATTTCGCGATTTGGTGATGGGATTTTTAATGGGGATTTTTGAAAAATCGGGTATATGCCAACAAACCAAATACTGTAGAGCAGCTGAAGAACAATATTACGGAAGCGATTGGAAATATTCCTCCAGAAACCTACCAAAAAGTGACTGAAAATGTAATCAAGAGCGCTCAGGTTTGCACGGCTTCTACAGGCGGACATTTGTCGGATATTATTTTTCATACATAATTTATAAGTTTCAATAAAATATTAAGATGAACAAAATGGACGTATTTTATTTCGTTTCACAAATATTCAAGATAAAAAGCAGTCAGCCAATGTTTATAAGAATAAAAAAAAATCATACAGATGATAATTTTTGAAACAGAAATAGCTAACTATAACAGGTTAATTACTTCCTAATGAGTTTGCGATGTTTTCCATGCGAACTGAGATAATTATTTCGGGACAAGGTTCTTCATATTATACAGGGTGTTTCAGTTTATTGTTGCATAACCTTCAGATTCGATAGAACTTTTAAAATTAATGCATAAAGTCTATATAAACATGGGTCGAAAAATGCGTGGCTTCCGAAATACAGGCTGTTTAAATTTACTTTCTAAAATAGTTTTTTTTTAAATATTTCGAACAATATTTGATGTATAATAGTGAAAATTGGTATACAAGGGTTTTTTGGTACGACAAAACGAAACATGGGTATAGTTTTACTGTAGCCGCTAGAGGGCGCTCTCTACTGTACCTGTAGTGTATTAAAATGACCGAAAAAATTTTCTTAGTGCAATTTTTTGCTTTTTGAATAAAAAACTGATTCTTCGCGCTTTTCAACATAAAAAAGCTCTCTTGTGAATTTTCGTTATAGTTAGCCGTTTTTTAAGGTTCGAAGCATTTTTAATTATTTATGATAAAATAACGTTAAAAAGTCAGTATCTCGATAATTTTTAGAAGTAGGCTGTGCCTGCAAATAATTTTGAAATTGAAAGCAGAATAAGGTTAAACGTCAATTAGTTTACAGTTAGCTTTGTTGTCTGTTGAAACCTGAAACGTTTTTTTGCAATTGTGAATGCACGAAATTTAGTTTCTTTTACCTGTTTTTTTTCTGTAAGTTTTATAAAAATGCCATTTTTATTCTCCAATCAAGAGTTAGCGGATATTCATTTTGTGTATGGCTTTGTAAATGGAAATGCAGCAGAAGCAGCCAGAGAATACGCACGAAGATTCCAAACAGACGTCATCCAACTCGCTCAGTATTTGTAAGAGTGCATCGCCAAATAATTGAAAATGGTTTTGGAAATCTCCAAAGGGATCAAAATATAAATGTTCGTCAGCGCAGATTTACCCGTATGATTCTGCGTGAGTTTGATAGAGATCCGACCACAAGTGTTAGGAGAGTTTCTGGTGCCTTGGGAATTTCAGCAAGCCATGTTCACCATGTTCTTAGAAATGACCATAGACGTCCTTACCATTTGCAACCTGTGCAAGGACTACAGCCAGGGGACGGAGAACGAAGAATCACATTTTGTCAGTGGATTCTTGATAGAACTGATAATAATAGGGAGTTTTTATGTAACGTTTTATGGACCGATGAGTCATGCTTCACTAGACGTGGAGTGGTAAATTTTCATAATCAACATATTTGGTCGCATGGAAATCCGCATGCAGTTCAAGAAAGACATTTTCAGCATGAATGTAGTGTGAACGCGTGGATTGGTATCTACCGTAATCGACTATTTGGACCCTACCTTTTGCCTGCAAAGTTAAATGCTGCGACCTTCTTGGAATTTTTAAAGGCTGAACATGCAAATATGTGGGATGATGTTATGTTAGATCGAAGAAGATTGGACTGGTTCCAGCTTGATGGTGTCCAGCTCATTAGTCGAGAATAGTTAGAAACTGGCTGGACGAAAATTATCCAGAAAGATGGATCGACCAGTCGCCTGGCCTCCACGATCCCCTGACCTACATCCATTAGATTTCTTTGTGTGGGATTTCTAAAAGAAAAAGTGTACCAGACTCCCGTAACCACAAGAGATATTCTAATAGACAGAATCAGGAATGCATGTGAAAAAAATAAGGCCTTATTTGAATAATGCTATACCACGTTCGATCATTCGTAGATGTGAATTGTGTATTGAACAATTGGGTTTACATTTCGAGCAACTACTTTAGATTTTGTATGTTTGTCCTAACTATCCAATAGCATTTTAGTTGTAAATAATTAATTTAATTTGTTAAAAGTGATATTGGAAAATTAAACAAATTAATATTCTGTTTTTTGTGTTTATTTGGAGTTAGCAATTATTGCTGTGTTTAAAATCACAATCTAAACGATCGTCTTAATTACTTGTAATGCCCAAATCGAAAATGTAAAAAAAATATTATTTTCCCATAAATAATTAAAAATGCACCGAACCTTAAAAATCGAAATATCTCCATACTGCAGGTACAGTAGAGAGCGCCCTCTAGCGGCTACAGTAAAACTATGCCCATGGTTCGTTTTGTCGTACCATAAAAACCTTGTATACCAATTTTCACTGTTATACATCAAATATTGTTCAAAATACATTTAGAGAGTAAATTTAAACACTGTATTTCGGAAGCCACGCATTTTTCGACCCATGTTTATATAGACTTTATGCAATAATTTTAAAAGTTCTATCGAACAAACAATAAACTGAAACACCCTGTATAGCCGAACTAACATCGTATTTTTGTATATTTTACTCCAACAAAAATAAAATCAAATCACCTACAGTCATATCGAGGCTGTGATTGTTCATTTTAAAATTGTTTTGAAGTTTTCATTTCTATATAATAGCACTTCATTATTTGGTGTTCGTTTTATATGTGCTTGTATAAGTTTGCATTTATCAGAAATAACTAACCAAGAACCCATCTGACAGACATTTGGAACACTAGCTCTTGATGTTCAGTTTTTTTAGAACTGTTCAGAAACCCCAGATGAGTCAGTAAATAAGTCCTGAAACTATTTTGGTTCTGTGATATTTTTGTGTTGGTGGTTAAGAACGATGGTTGTTGATGTGTGAAACATTTATTTGTAAATAAAATATGTATTTCACGTAGACGCCACAAATACAAGAAACTTACAAAAATGTTTCTTCCCAGTATTTCTGGATCAAAGGGCTTTGGTTTGTACAACGTTTTGGTCTGCAATAGTCTTCTCATTGCAAGTTGTTTTTTAACAGCTTCTGCCCCGTAGTCCTCCAAGCGGAAGATTGGTTCTATCGGATGCTACAATACCAACATGTTAAAGAAACGCTATAAAAATGACACCTAATTCTCTACAAACACAGAACTGACTAACCAAATTCCAATAATAAGGATTCGCGTATTTCTGTATTTTGATTGATTTGGAGGTCAATTCATACAATTTTGCAAAAATATAATTGCCATGTAAAGTGTTGAAATGTTGAACAAGGTAACATCGGTAAAAGAAAAACCTTCTGAACAAACAGTTTCAAATGCGTTAAAACCAAGTAAAATTAAAGAATGCTATATTTGAGTATATGTACTTGAGAATCTACATCATTAGGTGAGTAATATACTAAGTGACAATAAAATCCGAACACCCAGTTTAAATGGTTTTATTTAAATAAAATTTTGTATAAGTACTTAATGAAGCATAATAGTAAATGATAAAAATTCAAAATGATTGCACTGCTTTAAAGCCCTTTGACCTTGAATAATGTGTGGATGCACCCTGATGTGCTACACATTCTCCAACGCGCCTAGGCATGCTTCTGATCAGGTGGTCAATGTCCTCCTGTGGTATCTCATTCCAGGCAACCACCAACTCCTCTCGAAGTGCTTCTAGAGTCTGAGGAGGACGTTGCAAATTGAGCAATCTCCTACCCATCATATCCCACACGTGCTCAATTGGGAATAAGTCGGGAGATCTTGGTGACCATGGTAACAATGTGACATCATTATGTTGAAAGAAGTCTATTGTGACTCTTGCAACATGTGGTCGGGCATTATCTTGTTGGAAAGTTGGATCTGCCAGGGTGTCAAGATAGGGTAAAAGATGGGGGTTCTAGAACTTCGTGGATATAACGCTGCGCGTTCATGTTACCTCTGATGAAGATTAAAGGTGACCTGGAACCATAAGCTATAGTAACCATAACTCCAACAGTGTGATGAACATGTCTTTCAACAAAAAACTGTGGATTCCTCCTTTCACCACGTCGCCTTCTAACCCTGGCACGACCATCGTGCATGACTAAACAAATCGAGACTCGTCACTAAAGACAATACTGTTCCATTCCTGATCTCAGAGTGACCGTTGTCTGCACCACTCAAGGCGATTACGTCGGTGTTCTCGAGTTAAAGGGAGGACCCAGTTTGGCTGGTATGAAAACAAGCCAAAACTTCTCATTCGTCGGTAAACACTTCGCATGCCAATAGGTCTTCCGTGTTCTGCAAACCATTCATTTGCAATGGACCTGGTAGTGGAGAAACGGTCCCTTAAGGCCAATAGTCTTAGGCGGCGATCTTCACGTTCTGTTGTTCTACGGCGGCGTCCAGTGCCCCTTGCTCTTTGCGTACGGCCTTCTCGAAGCCATGCCTGACAACACCTAACCACAGTGTCTACACTTCTTTGCACTCTAACTGCAATTGCCCGAAAAGAAAGTCCAGCTTCCCGAAGTCCACTATACGGCCCCTATCAAACTCACTAAGTTGACGAAAATCGTACAGGTCCTCCGTACTCTAGGCATCTTTACCGATCGTAAAGGATGTCAAGAACCAAAATCCGCCACGTTGATTCTCTACTGCGGGCTGAAATATTCATTTTTAGAGCGTTAGTGAATTAAAAAAAAAGCAGTATAAAAACCGGAATGTCCAACTGATAAGGCTGAAAATTTTTCACTTGTTATTACAGTAAGATAAATACATTCACCAACTTTTATTAAAATAAAACCATTTAAACTGGGTGGTTCGGATTTATATGTCCTTAGTATACTTGAGAATACTTGATAATACTATGTTACTTAGACTATGAAAATGATTTTTATTTATTTAGATAGTAATGAGCTTGAAATATCACCAATATCTTAGAAATATCGTAAATAATTATAATTATGTTCAATGAATTGGAAATCAAATTCAGTTTTTCTTACTCTTTTAGCAACGTATTCACTTACATATATTCCCCTTCCGACCAACTCTGGACTGATATATTTTCTTCTGTACCCCAATCCTACTCTTTCTATTGCTTGCTATCCAGAATTCTCTCATGAGCTCCCACAGATGCGTAGTTTTCTAAATGGTGGATGATTTTCTTTTTCAATTTGATAGCGGCAAAAACATGAACCGGCTTAAAAACGGTCATTCCTTTATTGTCTACCAATAGGTAGGATACTCTACCAGCAAGAACATCTCTTGTGGCTTCGGCCGGGATCACGATTTTGTAACTAAAAATGTGGCATCAAGTACATTGGCTCAATGAATTCATATACAGGGTGGCCCATCCATGTGTGGAAGGAATATTCATATATATATATATATATATATATATAACTTGAGACGTGGTCATTGTCGTCTAGACAGTTAGGTGAAAAATTAAAGCTTCCGCCTTTTGTTGGGTACTTCGACAAAATTAAGCAAAGTGGACTCTTTATACTTTTTTAATTCTCTCTAGCTTTCAATGGACTTGCCATCATCATCATCAGGAGCTGCAATTACGATGATAACAGTAGCAACAAAAGTGTAAAAATGAATTTAAATTGAATTAACTTACAGTAGTATGTGAGGATGTTGCTAATTGTTGTTTTCGTATAGGATGAGGGAAACGTCCAGTCATATGGTGAGAGCTGGATACATGGTACAATGGTTAAAATTATATAAAATATGACAAGAC